TTACAACCAGCCCTCAGGAACTGATCTAGTTTGGAAGTCAAGGATCCACTGTACTCGTTTTAGTAGTGAGATGGAAAAAGCCAACCACATATTTATCTTGAACTTGTAGTTCTTAATGTTCACATTACTTCAGTTGTCCTTTATAGAGATGCAGCAGTAGACTGGGCATAGTTTAACATCAGATGTAGTTTGTGTTTCTGGAGTCTGTTCTAACTAGAAATGATATCATATGTGCTTGTACTTATAAATAGCACAGGGAATATTTAACTTATTGCATTCTTTGTATGCTCTTCTTTTTTTGAAAGGTGACTAAAATTTTTGAATATTTTTAATATTTTTAAAATATTGGTATGTGTTTGTGATACATAATACATTTGTTTTTGGAATTTATATATATATATGTAAATTTATATCTGTGTCTGTATATCTTATATTCAATATTTCTTTCTAAGGCTGTTAAAAAAACCTGAAATCTCAGCGTTGGTAATGGACGTAACATTTCAACAAAGAAAATCTCATCAGTGAGTTGTTTTAAATTTTCTAGCACATAGGTCCAAATCTCCATACATGAGTAGTAAAATCACTTTGAGCTTTGATATTTTAATGTAACAAAATCACAAACACTATGTGTTGCACATTTGAAGTGGGGGCCCAGCCTTAGGTGTGGCCAGCGGAGTGCAGTGAGGTTAGACATGCCTGTCCTCTATCTAGCCCATCAGACATTCTTGCTGTATTTCACACAAGAGTGTTCCTAAATTTCCTGGGACTTGCCTGGCTTTGAAAGACTGGCTCATTATATCTAGAGCCGAGTTGGGAATCAGAGGGGCTGTTAGCCTAAAAATAGTCATGGCTTGCAAAGAGGACCTGAATGACACAGATCCACATGGCCTTCCTGCTGCCAGACAATGGTCACATAAGGAGGGAAGCAGGCAGCCACATGGGGAGGGTACACTGTGGGAAGACAGGTGTGCAGGTCTGAGTGTTTTCTTTCTGACTTATGTAGGGGGGGATAATGTCTTAGTGACCAACTTTTAAAAAATTAAAAATAATAAATATTGAGGTTATTCTTTTTATGAATCTGGGCTTACTGGAATATATTTCTAGATTCTAATTTGCAAGAAATTCATTTAATATTTAATGTTGATCACAGTAAGTCTGAGGAATTGTAACAGTAACATGCTTTGTTTCCTGTATACTGTCTTGGAACACAAAGCCATGTTTTAGAACTTGCAGACAATAGGACATTTAAACAAAGGCCTATACATTTAAAACTGGTGTTTATGGGAGGATGATTTAACATTCTTACTGAAACTCTTTGGATACAATATGGTACAAATTTTCTGTTGGAGTCAAATGGGCTAGGAGATGTCAAGTCATAAAGATTAAACCTGGTCAAAAGGCCAAGAGCAGCACCCATTTCCTCATAGTCTTCTAAGGGCAATTGAAGAGGTCGGATAAGATAAGAGCAGGAGAGTACAGTATTTTATTTGAACTCCTTGACTTGGCAATGAACAGCCCTTGATTTTTCAGGATTCAGCCGTAGCGTCTCAGGGTTGGCTGTTAAATTTGCACAGGGTGGTATGATTTGGGGGCGGCAACAAGACCCTCTGGCTTTTGACATGTTTCTTGTCACCTTTAGCACAGAGGTTAAATCTGTTGCTCATTATTGTTTGTATTAGTCAGTTCTGCATCCCTGTATTAAAATACTCAAGACAATTCACTTAGAAAAGGTTTGTTTTGGTTCGGTGTTCTGCAAGTTCCAATCTGAGATTAGACGACCCCATTACATTAGGCCTCTGGCAAAGGTGAAACATAGAAGTGTATGTGGATTATCCTGCATATATCATGAGCCAGGAAGCAAAGAGACATCAGACAAGCAGGGCCCCACGGTTCCCTTCTGAGGCACATCCCCAATGACTTAAGGACCTACCACTAGGTGTCACCTTTCAAAAGTGCACAGCACCTCCTAGTAGTGCTACCTAGGGGACCAACCTTTTTACACATGGACCTTTGGGGGACACACATTTAAACTGTAACATTGTTCTAGATCAGTGGGTCCCTTTTTAAATGATAGGTGTGTTGAGAAGCCATTAGACAGATCATTTTGCTTGGTAACTTCCCAGTTGGAGAGAAACAGTGATGGCTTAGGCCACGGGACAAGAGTGAAGGTGAGAAATGGTTGTGTTTGGGATGCATTTTCAAAGGGGTGCCTATTGGAATTTCTACTATGATTAGTGGGAAAGAGGTAATTTAAGGGTCATTACTAGGTTTTTCCATCTGATCAACCTACCTGGCTAGTGGTGCCTTTTACGGAGAGTGAGAAACACCAGAAAAGAAGGAAGTGGCGGGGGTCTCCAAGCCTGGAGTTCTGTTTTAGAATAAATATGAAAATAGATGTCAAATGACAGTTGAGTATCAAATCTGGAGCAGCTTAGGCGAATTAGAGCTGAGATATGTTTGTGGGAGTTTTGTCAAAGAATGTATTGAAAACAAGATGTGAGTGTAGAAGAGAAAGGGAATGAGGGGCTGAGACATACCTTACGCTCAACTCTTAGAGGTTGGCTAGAGAAGAATCCCGGAGGTATTTACTACAGAGAAAAAGTCTGAGTTTCAGAGTAAAGCTAAGGTAGGGAGTAGTATTTCTGAAGCCAAATTTAGGAGGTGTCCTTTAGCTTGAGCCCCATAATGTGAAGAGTTTTGCTTACCAGTTGGGAAACATTTTGGATAGCTTTTTGGTCAGGCAGTATGTGTAATCATTTAGAACCTTTCATGAGGCTCAGGAAACCTTGGTAAATAGATCATGGTAAATTCAGTCCAAAGTAAAAACAAGTACAACAAAATATATCAGTCAACTTTTTTGTCATAGGGACCAAAATACCTGACATGCACAATTTAAGGAGAGGTTTATTTCGTCTCATGGTTTCAAAAGTTTCCATTCATGATAGGCTGGCTCTAAGGCAGGAGTATCATGGCAGAGGGGTATGGGAGAAGAAAGCTGCTCTCTCACGGCCCAGAAGCAAGAGGGGAAGGGCCAGAGAGGAAGCGGGGTGGACCAGCTATATCCCCTCGGTCACACCTCTGTGACCCCAGCCAGACACACCCAGGAGTGTGCTTTCCTAATCTAGGCAGCTTTCAAGCTAATCAAGTTGGTAATCAAGATAAACCATCCAAGCCTTTAAAAAAATACCAGAACATCGGATTTAGTTATCATTAAGTCCACGTCATTTGAGGGAAATAACATTCTGTTAATAATTTTTGAAAACTAACAATGGATGGAGGAATTGTTATACTCTTTGAAGGTTCCTAAAATCCAGAACACTTCTTTACAGCTCCTGGTTACTGTTTGTAATACTGTTTTAAGGTTTTCACAAGGACTCTTCTTTCAGAAGCCTCATTCCGTATCATACCAAAATATTAAAATATAACTACACTTCATATATTTAAACAGTTGAATTGCTGTTGACTGTTGATATAATGGTGCGTTTAAAAACTCTTGCCTGCTACTTATTTCTCAAGTCTAAGCTAAACCAGTGACTTTTTAAAAAATGCTTTTCCTGACCCCAACTTCCATAATAGTGATCAGTGTTTGTACTTTTCTGCAATAATTACAATTTCTATTGCTATGCTTATTTTTTGTCTATTTTATTCACTGTGAAGTAACTTCTTGTAGAATGTTTGGCCTAAGATGGATTCTTGATAAATTTGCTAAATATCGTATTTTCTAATAAAATAGATTCTTAGAGGTACCTAAGTAATTTTGGCTTGGTTTCCAAGCTCAGTGTCTTTTGTAAGCATGATTTGTTGAGATATAATTTACATATAGCAAAATTTGTTCCTTTTTATATATAACATAGTTGATTGAGTTTTGACAACCACATATAGGTGTGTAACTACCAATTACAAAGAATAGAAATTTCCATCATACCAAAAGTCTTGTGGTTTCAGTCATCTCCCATTCCCATGGACACATTAATCTTGTCCCTATAATTTTGCCTTTCTGGAATATTATATAAAAATAGAGTTACCTACTATGTTGTCTTTTGTATCTTTCACTTAGCATATGCATTTGAGATACATTTGTTTTGTGTGTATCAATTGTTTACCTTTTTGTTGTTGAGTGGTATTTCATTGTATGGAGTACTCCTTTTTTTTAAGTGCATCTGCCAGTAATGGACATTTGAGCTATATCTTGGTTTTAGCAGTTAGGTTTCTCTCCTTAGTTATGATTAATAACAGACAAGAAATTACAACAGCATCAATAACTGCTCCATATCCCCATCCACATCTGCTTCTGTTTTCCCTGTTCTTTTTTTTAATGTTTTACATGAGTATAACCATAAAACACAAATATTTTTCTTAGTTGTATTATAAATTGCATAGTTTTTTAACGGTTGGACTGTATTCATTGAGTTACTATACTGTAATTTTCTAATTAGTTCTTTGTTGTTGACATTTAAGTTGTTTCTCAGCCTTTACAGTTGTAGAGAATATGCTAAAAATCCTGGGGTTTTTTTGTTGTTTGTGTTTTTTGAGATAGAGTCTCACTATATGCACTACTGGTATGTAGCCCAGGCAGACCTTGAACTTGCTGTGATCCTCCTGCTTCACCTTCCCAAGTTCTGGGATTACAGGCCTGCACCACCGCACTTGGCTTAAAAATCCCGTTTTAAAAATTATTTTTCTTCTGTAATTAATTTTTGTCAATGATTTACTCAAGACTTAATTGGTAATCTCAGCACTGCAGAGGTTAAGGGAGGAGGATCACAATTTTGAGGCCAGCCTGAACTACAAACTAAGTCCCAGGACCCTGTCTCAGAAAACAAAACAAAACAAAAACTTTAATTGAAAGTTATAGAAATCTGTTCAAGGGAATGGGACACAACATGGATCAGTACTATAAGGGTGCAGAGTAGTCCTCAGAGTTCAGCATCTGAAGGTTGTCAGGAGCCAAGTCAGTTACTGATCATCCTTTCCTTGTTTTTCATTTCTGCCTCTCTCAGTACATCTGCCCCATTCTTCTCTGAAGAGACTCGCTTCCCCTGCTTCTGGTGCACAGAGGAAGGAGGCTGCTGCAGTGATATGTGCTTCAGTTCCCGGGAGTCTAGAACACAGTGTGTCCGACCAGCTGCTTCAAATCCAAATGCCAGGAAGACAAAATCTGATTCCGTTTGAGGTAGGCACCTATACCAGGGCAAATTTACTAGTTTGGAGTTTGGAGTTCATCTTCATGAGTAGAAGAGTCTGTTCTCAGGGAGAGGGGCATGTGCTGAACCAAACCCACACTCAAAGCTTTCCACTTAAAAGAAGATAACATAAAATAACATAAAACCCATTTTTTTTCTTTCTCGCTTTTGAAATTGCTTTCCAAAAGCGTGGTTACAGGCTCCCTCCCTCCCTCCTTTCTTTCTTTCCTTCCTCTTTTCTTTTCTTTTCGTTTCTTGACGAGATCTTGCTATGTTGCTCAGCAGGCTGGCGACAAACTCCAGGGTTCAAGTGGTCCTCCTGCTTCAGCCTCCTAAGAGGTTAGGACTAGGGGTGTGCACCACCTTCTCCAGCTATAATTAGGTCTTAAAAAAGGAGTAAGTCCGGGGAGTATTACATGTCTGTTTCAATACTGAAAATAGTTTACCATTTCTTCATTTTGCTCCATTATTTGTGAGTGATGTTTAATGGACAGCTATGGAAATCTAATTTACATCCAGTGTTTTAGATGAGTCTTAACAACAAGCAGTCCGTAAGATAGCTCCTTCTTCTCAGAACCATGCATCCTACCTGAGGTTTCATTAACCTGTGTAAGGAGTCCCTCATTAAGTGGGCCTTGACCGGGAGTGTTCCATGCAGATATAGTTGTCTGGAAATAAGATCAGCACTGCTGTTGAATGCTTTGGGGCCCCATAGGAACATCATCAGTACCTTGATTTTACTCTGAAGTGCCTACCCAAAATCTGTTCTTAAATCAGAATTGAGTTGTGTTTGTTATGGTCACTTTGAGTTTTAGGCCTCCAGAGTCACCTAGGTTGGCCAGGTTCCACCTGAGCCTACAGTTGAGTTCCACATGGCTCTCCTGGGACTTGCTGTGGACCCTGGGTGTGGATGTTCCTCTTAGCAACTTCTGAAATCTAAACAGCCACATCTGAAAAATCTTTGTTAACAAACTTGCCCTGGTCACCATGAAAAGTTTACTCCTCTCAAATCATTTGTCTGTTTTATGATTCTTTCAGTGATTTTAAGAACAAAACTTGAAAATTTAAGGAACTTGTCTTCTGTGCAAATGGATTCTTTCCATGTGACTGTCAGGTTCAGAGAAGCTTCTAGCTGGCAGTAGAATGGGCAGTGGTATAGTCAGTAAAGATGACAAGTAGCTGGGATTCCGGGTGTGCACCACTGTGCCCACCCTTTGCAATACCACAGATCCAACCCAGGGGTGCTTGTGGATTTAACATTTGAGGTCTAAAATGTTGTTCATGAAGCAGCCCAAAGTTCCAGAACAGGGGTTATAGTATTTTTTTATAGATTGAGAGGTATGAAGTTAAGCCATTATTAGCTCTGGCTCTTAATTTTGCTCTGTCACCCACCTATCAGTGATGTTTGTTGGGGAAATGCTATTAACAGTGCTTAGGTCCTGGGATGGGTCCCCTAGCGGTAATTCTGTACCATGTGGTTTGGGTCCCAATCTCTACCACAGAAATCCTAGCTGTTGATGCATTAGTGTAGAGATGTGTATCAAAGCTGGTTGTCATAAACAGAAGTAATTGAAGGAAATGAGACATGCCAGATTTCTCCCTGGGAAGGCCCTGCCTGGTTTTGATCATTCGTTCACTTCTACTTTGGCTTATTGTAGGAAGGCCACTATTGCAGATACTGGGCACCCTAACTTGCTTCAGGAAATCCCTGTACATCTCTAGGGCATTTTTAAGGACACTCTATGACTCATGAAGGCTCTCCTCCCACAGCTACAGTAATGTTTGCTGTTGGGACACATTACAGAATGGTTTAAAAGTTCAGAGCTGCAGGTGTAGCTCAGTGGTAAAGCACTTACCTAGCAAGTCCAAGACCCTGGGTTCAATCCTAGTACTGCGAGAGGTATTCAAAGTCATTATCTTTTTTCTTGAGTTTTGATTCCCTATGTTTTCGTTTCACTATATACTTTGTTTTCTCTTGGAGCCTCATTGGCATGTCAGAAGTGAAGAGAAGCTGTAATCATTATTTTGCTTAATTAAACTTCTCAGACCCATCTAGCAGAAGGAGAGGGGTCAGTATATGTATGTATTTTGCACAGATTTAGGAAACTAGAAGGATAATTTTGTTCACAGCAGATAATTTCTCTTATGAACTTATCTTTGTGATTCTCTAATATGGATTAGTTTTGTTATGTAGTCGTCAAGCAGTTTCCCTCCCAGTACTTTCTCAAGAGCACTCTGTGTCTATTTTGTTTGTCTGCTTTTTATCCCTTGAGCTTCTTTGTGATGGGTCACAGGTGGCTGTGCAGTTTCAGAAACTGGAAGAACTGCTGTGGTTATTTACGGAGCAGTGGTCCATAATGTTTTTGTGTAGTGGTTAGATCTTCTCTATCATTGAGTGATAGCGGGTTATAAAAAAAAAAAGGTTGAACATACCGTGTCCACTTTTTGTCCTACTTTCTCTGTAGAAAAATTTAATCGGCTTTGTGTGACCCAGCAGAGTACTGAATGTCCTGGTTCCTTATCTTAATTGACATCAGGGAATGTAGCCAAAAGTGCTTCCTCGGTATGACTTCAACACAGATGAAGCTCTCCTCTTCTACTGGGAAGCAAGACTAGATCATTTAGTTTTAGTAGACACAATATGACAGTCATAATTATGACTCCCTTTCTAAAAAATCCCTTGTAATATAATCAGTGTGGGATTATATAACAATAAGGATTCAGGTTTGGACTATACAAATGAAACATTCACTCTTGTTTTTACCCGTAGCTTTGAGACACTGTATAATACATTATATTGATGTGGGATGTCTTTAGACTTGTTTTAGTTCTTTTGTTCTGTCTTCTTTTGTCTCTAGTTTCTAGGTTTCCTTTGAATATATATGATGTTCTTTATGCAGGATTAACTAGTCTGTGAGATTCATGCCGTTTCACTCAAGGGAGTTATATATGGAGAGTTAAGAATAAAAATTGGAGTTTTATCCTGAATGCACTATTAAATTTTGTTTTCATAGTTTTGTGAAGCAAGATGATCCTGAACCAAAGAGGAGGTAGGAGATCATTTAAATCCTGATTCTGTCTGTGAATAATTTTGTGAAGCTTAATGGTGCTCACTTATAATTCCAGCTTCTCAGGAGGCTGAGGCAGGTATCTGACAAGTTCTAGGTCAGCCTGGGCTACACAGTGATACTATCTCAACAGAAAAGAAACAAAGCCTAGATAATTGTGCAGACCTGAAAGTCATCAGGTCAGCTACATTGCGCAGTTGTCAGGGCACCATCATCTTTGATAAAAACGGTGCCCTGGCATTTCTGTGCTGTGGAGTATGGTTTATGAAAGCCGACTTCCTGAGTTAATGCAATGCAAGCTCCACGAGAAAGCTTATTCTCTTCAGACCTGTTTTCTGGCATATAAAATATGTAGACTGGATTAAATGAACTCGGTACTCTGGACCCTGGAAGATGATTCATCAGTTTTAGTCATCCTCTGTTCCATGAGTGGGCTCTGTTTTCAGCAGGATAGTAGAATTAGCTTTGTTATAAGAGTAGTACCTGTAATATTCATTTCAAGAGTATTTCTCTATTTTAATGTTTGTCTTCATGTGTAGACTTCTGCCTGCAAGATTTCTTGGCATGAATTTCAGGTGTCTGAATCATACAATCTGTTGTTAGAATTTGAAAGACATTTGTTTAAGGGATTGGGTTAACTATTTTGTAAAGTAACAGCTTTGACACAAAGTTACAAAAAACAGGTATCCTAGCCCATGGTTATGAGTAAATAATTTCCAGATCTTTTAATTTCAGTTCCTTTGATCAAAAAAGTACATTTTACACAGAATGTGGTTTCCAATGGAACATGAACACATTTTTCATATTTTGAGGGCTTTTTTTTTTTTTTTTTTGTACCAGGGATAAAACTCGGGTCCTTGTGCTTTCGAGGCAAGCAGTGGAACCACTGAGCTAAATCCCCAGCCCCCATATTTTGATATTTAAATAGAATTCTGAAGAAAATAGAAATGTCTAAAAATCCCTCTTCACTTGAGATGATGAACCATTGATAACAGTACAATACATACTTTTCCAGATCTTTCTCTTGTATATTTTACATTATTAATGAGACTATTTGGACATTCCAGATTTCCTAAATTTAAGGATATGAAACTTTTAAGAATTTATTTGTATAGAAAAAATAATTGTGGACCAATTCATAAAGATTTTAACTTCCAGTTGTGGTATAGATACATACTTAACATTTTTCCTTCAAAATTGTTTCTTTTTAATTGTCCACGTCACTGCAGTAGTCTGTTTTTTTTTAATACAGAAGCAGTCACCTAGTGTCAGTGAATGCTGATTTAATCTGACCAAAAGTCTCTCTCCTGTTTTCAGAGACACCCTGGATAGAAAAGTAAGTTGCTTGCTTTATACAACTTGTCGTTTTTGTTTTGAGTTCTACTGTAAGTGCTATACAGAATAACCAAGAAACATCTGGATACAGTTTTATGCCTATAAAAACTCAGAAAAGTCTATAATGTTTCACTGGCAGAGAGTCTAAGGAAAATTCTTTAGTTTAGGGCGAAAGAAGTAATTTCGCTCAGTTGTATTACTGCCGTAAGGCTGAGCCGGTCTTTGAGTAACTGGTCTCCAGAGAAGATGATCATATGGTCTGCGGTGTTTGGGTTTCTTTTGGTCTGGTTGCACTGTTTGCATTGCTGCATGAAAAAACAGTATCTTTGGTGTAGCCCAAAAGAATGTCTTTTTTTTTTTTTTTGACAAATAATTTGAATAAGACATCATTTTTATAGTTCTCAATTCTGGTATTTTGAGGAATGTGTTGGCTGGATAAAGTTGATTTTTGGTATTTACATTAAGCAAGAACACTGGAGTTAAGTTTTAAGTGTTAATTAAAAAAAGAAGGTGCTTTTCAAATCTTACATATTTTTTGTCCCTCACATTTCATTTGTAGTATTTAGCAGATTGAATTACCCCGACTTCAGATAAATTCTAGAATATGTGAAAATGCAAAGATTATTATGAACAAATGAGAATATACTCTTACCTGCTTTTTAAAAAGGAAAGTAGTCAAATATGGTGCTCTGCTTTGTGTATAAATTGTCAAATACAAAAACTGGTTAAGCAACATGTAAAAGTTTTGTAGTTACCACGGTTGTTTTATTGGTTATACCAGCAACAACATGGAGTGTGGTAGAAAATTGTGTGTGTGTGTGTGTTTGTGTGTGTACACACACTTTACTGTATTCTCTGAAGAACCTTGGTTATTTGGTCAACTGCATATTATGGTTCTGGTTATAGTGGTGTGTATGTGGATGTGTGTGTGGACATGTGTGTGTGTGCATGCATGTATAAACTGAGGAAGGGCAGAAGAGAGGGACTGAAGAAACTAGAATTGCTTGAGTGTTATGATTTAAAGTCTACATGCATTAGTTTAATTTGGCAATTTGGCTTTGACATTATCTTGCTGCAAGAGATGAGGATTGGTAGAACACAACTTTGTATTTTATGCAGTATTTTGGGATATGTTTAATGAATATAGGATGTCCTGAAGAGTAGTTATTTGAAAGAATCCAATGTTAAAACATTCTACTTAGTAGGATTACTGACTAAGCTCTTAGGAATGCAGTTTTAAAAGTTTGTGAATGTGTGGGGTCTTCCTTATCCTGGTTTGAAGTTTTTAGTAAGTTCTTGAGCCAGAAAATTTTGGATTAAAAGCGTATTTTTGAAATGAACTATAGGAATCAGAATTCTTAAATAGCAGTAGGCCAGTTAATTGGCTTTGTGTTGATTTTGAAGCTCTTTATCAGTTGTAATGTCCTTAGCACAATCCACCAAGGCCTCTTCCCAACCTCCCTCAAAGCCCTGGCCCCCAAAAGGCTTTTAATTTCGTAGTGTGGGTCATCTTAAGACTGCCTACCTCTACAGAAGTATTAACAGATGTCAGTTTTCCATTGACAGGGCTCATTAAATTGTAACAGAAGATTTAAAAACCCTTACCTATGTGGTTTAGACAGGATATCAGTGAATTATTTAACCTCTATTAGTGTAAAAATGGTTATTTTCCTTTGGATACTGCTTTTATATTTCAGGTGTGTTTTAGAGGACTTTGGTATGTTGTCTGTCTACCACCAATCTCTATTTTTTTTCTGTGTTTTGTTTTGAGATAGTCTTCCTAAGTTGCCCAGACTGGCCTTGAACTCATGATCCTCTTGCCTCATTCTCCCAAGTAGCACCATGCCCAGCAAAACAATGTTCTTCCGGGAAAAAAATTTTTAAAAATTATACTAGGTTGGAATCCAGGGCCTTGCATGGGGTTAGGCAAGTTCTGTACCACTGAGCTACACTCCAGTATCTCTCTGCTTTTAAAATACTTGGTGATATATATATATATTTTTTTTTTTTTTTTCTGTACTGGGGATTGAACTCAGGACCTTGTGTTTGCCAGGCAGGCGCAGCACCACTGAGCTACATCCCCAGGCCCAATACTTGGTCATATTTGATTGTCCTATAAAAATAATTACTAAACTATAGGACCTTAATGATAAATACAAGCTTCATCATTATGTGGTTTTGAGGGTAGGTGGAAGGAGAGATATATTGTTATGAGTAGGCTTTTGTGATTTTTGTTTTCCTATGGTATAGTTTCTCTCATAGCATTCTTTGTAAAGTAGTATTTTTTTAAATTCTTTTTTAAAATACTTTTTTTTGGTTGAAAATATGAGTCAGAGTCTCACTGTGTTGCCTCACTCAGGATTCTCCTGCCCCACTCTCCCAAGTTAAAAATTCTTAAATTTGTGTTTTACAAAGTGAATTGTTTTTCCTTGGATAATTAAACTAAATAGTATCTACCTCTGAGTTTTAATACATTATTCATTTTAACCTAGATCTCTTATTCATACGTTGAGCCTCCCCTCTGTTGTTTGGAATAGAGAACACAGCTTTCAGCTCATAGTATATCCACAGTTGGTATACTAAACTCGTATACTAGTTTATTTAAAGAAAAGAAAAAAACATAAAATTCTTCTACTTTATTCAAAGCTTAAGTCCTTTTTGTATTTATCTAAACTGTGATAGATTATTCATGCAGCTTTCCTACACTATCTGGTGTGACTTCCTTCTTTAAATATTAATATAATTGAAGTAGACCTTTAAAATGTTTACTTGAACAGATATTTATTGGGTACTTAGTGTGTACAGTGCTCTCTGCTGCTCTATGCAGATAATACAGCAGTGAGCCTTTGAAGTCTCGCTGACATTTTGTCTCCTTTCCCCTTTCTGTCACCAGGCTGGCTCCAAGGAGTTCCAACAAAGAGCAGGTAGGGCCCTCAACTCAGTCCACCAAGGAAGTTCTTGACTCACCATAGAAAAGAATTCAGGGATGTGCCTGTGAGAGACATGGAAAAGTGTTATTAGGGAGAGTTAAAGAAGTACACACTTGGAGAAAATAGAGCGTGGGCCCTGAGGGAGAGGCGTGATGTGGTCTGAGGTTGGGGATATATATGTATTCTTGGAGGTATGCTTTTTAAGATGGGTGATCTGAGATGTTTTGCCTAAAAACATTCTTTGAATCTGTTTTTGTTGTTGTTGTTTAAATCTTAAGTTCAGGTTTCTGCCTTTTACTTTATCAACTAGGTTAATTTATAGACTTGAAGTGTGCCTTTAAGGGATTTGAGTGTGATGGTCCTGGAAGAAAACAAGTAAGCCTAGGGCATAACAGATACAGAGTACAGATATAGATAACCCTGGGTAACTGTGTCTTCAAGTTGCAGTCTTCTTTAAAGTGCTTTAGAAAATTATGATTTTTATTGTGTTCGTTCTATCTTTATTTCTTGTATCTCATCTCCACCACTGTGTTTAGCTCATATGCATCCCCACAGTTTCCTACTTACATTTCTCCTCACTAGGTTGGAACATCTTCCTCACCTCAGCTGAGCCAAGGGTCCCTGCCCACCTTCACAGCTCGGCAGACTCACATTGCACACAACATAGAATCCAGACTCTTGAACTGAGCTGGTGACTTGCTGCCCCTTGGCCCACTGACCTCCCACTTGGAGCTTCTGCCTGTCTCCAGACACTCGAGTCTCTCTTGGAATTTGTCTGGCTGCATTGGTGCTCTGTACATTTCTATTTGACAAGTCTTGTGTATTTTTCTCCGATTTCCCTAGGGATGCTTTGGGATCCCCTCATCTGTGGTCTGTGGTCTGTGGATCTTTTCTCTGGCTTAGCTTGTTGATATGCTTTTCTTACAGCTAAACCATCTGCAGCAGCTCCAAAACTTAACCTTGCCAAGTACATGGTAGACATCAAATACTTGTTTCAAGTAGTATCCCTAATTATATTCATTCTGATACAATATTTCCAGTCCATAATTTTGATTGATTACAAATTTTAGTTCAAGATCCAAAAGCAAAACAACCATTCATCACACTGAAGAAGTGAACCATTCAAGGGATTTTATTCATTGAAAAGCAAACCCAGACTGAAAATAAACTTGACTACTTTTATGAAAAGAAACTTGATTTAGTGCTGAGGATTGAAGTTTGGTGGTAGAACATTTGCCTAGTATGTACAAGGCCCTGGATTCAGTTCCCAATACCACACACACACAAGCTTCTGTGGCATCACAGTGGTTCAAAATGTATTATACATTTTGATCCTTATTTACACTTTCAGTTTCTCACACCAGAGAAACTATATGGTATTTACACATGTGTCCTATTTATTTTACTTAAGAGCATGGCCTCAATGTGCATACAGTTAGCTATAAATGTCTCTAGTTTCTCATTCTTTATGGCTGAGTAGTACTCCATTTTATTAAAAAAACACATTTTCTTTATCCAGTCTCCAGCTGATGGGCATTTGGGCTGCTTCCAAGTTTTAGCTATTACAAACTGTGCCGCTGTGAACATCGGTGCACATATATCCCTCTGATATGATTCTTTTAATTCTTTTGGGAAGATACCCAGCAAAGGAATAGCTGGGTCAAATGGAACCTCTAATCCTACTTTTTTGAGGTATCTCTGTACTGATTTCCACAATGATTGTACCAGTCTACACTCCCACCAACAGTGGAGAAGGGTTCCTTTTTCCCACAGCCCTATTAGGATTTGTTATTGGTTGATTTCTTGATAGCAGCAGGAAGAGAAGGTCCAAAGGGGAAGGGGAAGTGGGAGGGGTAGGGGAAAAGAATAAATATGAGAAAAGGAAAAAAATGGAAACAAAGTCTTTGTAAATAGGGAGGGTTGGAGAGGTTGTAGAGAGGGCAGGGGAATGGGGAAAAAATAAGAACCAAGATATTATGTAAAGGTACCAATTCCCAATAATGAATGTCATTATATTGTATGCCTAAAATGTACCAATAAAATTAATGAAAAAACCCTGAAAGTGCCCATT